GGGGGGGCAGGAGTGCATGGGGGGGAAGGACCCAGGGAAGAGGGGAGGAAGTGGGAAAAGAGCTGTAGCACTGTGGGAAATTGGAGTCAATGCCATGAGACAAAGTGTATGTGAACTGCTGCAAACAATGAATTTGCCCTCTAAATTTTCGCCAAATAACAATAAAAATTTAAAAGTAAATAAATAAATAAAAACCAGCCATCAAGTCATTGCCAACTTATGCAACTTATGCACGTGTTACAGAGTAGAACTGCTCTATAGCATTTTCTTGACTGTAATCTTTACGGAAGCAGATTGCCACAATTTCCTCCCACAGCACCGCTGGATGGATTTGACCAGCCAACCTAATTTAGGTTAGCAGCCAATCACAAACCACTTGGGCCAAAAGAGTGATGTTACCAAAACAGAAATTTATCTTAGAATCCTAAACTTTTAGAGCTAGAAAAGAATTTAGAGATTATCTAGACCAGTGGTTCTCCAAGTGTAATCCCCAGGCCAGCAACCTAAGCATTAGCTGGAAAGCTGTTAGAATGAGAAATTCTTGGGCACATTGCAGACTTAATGAATCAGAAATTCTGCGGTGTTTTAATGAAAAACTTTGTTTTAACAAACCCTCTAGGTGATTCTGATGCAAGCTAAAGTTTGAGAATCATTATTCTAGAGCTTTTACAGTGAGCTTTAAAAACACTGGACTAAGCCCAATGATTTAGATTCAAGCACATTTTAAAATTCTAATTCAGCTGATTCTAATGTGAAACCAGGGTGAAAAACCACTGATCTAGCCCCAATACTTTATTAAAAGATAAAAAATGGAGAGGTTAGCCCAAGATTAGACAACTAGTTAGTACCACCACCAGCACAAGAACCCAAGTCCCTTATTAATTCCAACTGAGTTCTTGCATTTCAACTAATTAATTCAATTTAATTCAAATTAATTCAACTGAGTAATTAACTCAAATTAATTCAACTGAGTAAGCAATTCTCTTACTTAGGATGCTAAATCTATTCTAGTAGATTTAAAATTATGATCCATACACTGCAGATTTCATTGCTCTACTTCCAATGCTCATTTCCAGGAACTTGATTCTGTGGTGGTGGTGGTTGCGTTTTGGCCATGGAGTTGACTTTGACTCCCAGAGACCCTATGTGGGCAGAACAGAACTGCCCCGCAGGGTTCTAAGGTTGTGAGCACTCAGAAGCAGATTGCCAGGCCTGTCTTCTGAGGCGTCTCTGGGTGGGTTCGAAGTGCCAAACATTACTAGCTGAGGTTTACCCGTTGGCCACCCTGCCATCTAAGCCTGTAGTTACCTTTTCTATATCCCTCACGATGGGGAGAGAAGTTTCAAAGACAAGCCAAATTAAAATCAAGAAAAAGATGAAAATATCAACAGCGCCAAAACCTAATTAATAAAGCAGATGATTTCCTTGGAAAACAAAAACAAGAGCTTCCCAAAAGTTTGCAAACATCTACAGAATAAATGCAAAGTGTTAACATTTCAAAGAGATTGGTGACAATCTGTTTACCACTCATGTAAGACCATCATTGTGGTCTTAAAGGTACCCAAAAAGTCACTTAAGGTCACTTAGCTCTACCTCTTGTCTTCTGGTAAGGTTGTATTTAATTATTCCCAAAGGAAGACTATCAGATTCTTAAACCAGAATTCCAATTAAAACTAATCCTAAATGGCGACTCCTGAGATTATGGTCCCTAGCTTCCTTTCAGGTCTGGAACTGAACTCATTCCTATGGCTTCCAAACAACAGACATGCATATGGGGTGGACATTTGCATAAGGCCAATACACTTCTTGAAGCAACCAATCATGAAAGAAAAGGGCAGTATCTGGACAGGGAGACAGCTCGGGGATGGAGTGCATGGAAGGAAAGGACAGAGGGAAGAGGTAACTACAGGGAGAAAGTGGGAAGAGAGCTGTTCCATTGTAGGGAATTGTAGTCAATGCATCAGACAAAACATGTATGAACTGCTGTATGGAAAATGAATTTGCTCTGTAAACTTTCACCCAAGTCACAAAAAAAAAATAAGTGAAAATAAAAAAAAAACACCCTAACATCTTGCTCAGTAACACGTTTCAGTGAGTAAAAGGTTGCAGTAAGTTTCCTTTGCAATTTACACACTCAGTCCATCTCACTGGTGATAGTAGCGGGAAGTCACATAGCTCCTGCTTTTAATGTTCCATGTATTTGAGGACATTCTCAGTTTACTCGTCTATTTACACCATAGTTTTTACTTAAGTTTTGATGTTCCACTGGTTTCATTTCTGAAGTGTTTTTTGAATGCAGGCCATAAATGTTTCACCAAATTTTAAAATATTTTAACATTTGACTTTCATGAGATGCTATCAGTTAGCGTTTGTTACCACAAGCATGGATGCATGTAATAAGCACACACAAGTTCAGCAAACGTTGACTGCTCACTTCAATGTTCAACAGTACCTTCTGCTAGTGTAGAAAACATGATGTAAACAAATACTATTTGGAAAACATTTTTCTTGAAAACTAGAAAACAGAAGCAATCTTGTCTCTCACATTCAAGAACCCAGAGACGCACATTTAGATACTAATAAACTGTGTATCTTAAAAGTCTAAGTTACTCATGTTAATCTGCAAAAATGTTAAAGCCAAACAAAAGATCTGCCTATTTTGGTAAAATAATTGTTTATTATTGGATTACCAAAAACACACTCACTGCCATCGAGTTGATCCTGACTCATAGCAACCCCTACTTGGGTTTCTGAGGTGGTTTCTCTATGAAGTAGATTGCCCAATTTTCCTTCCGAGGACTGGCTGGTGGGTTTGAACCGCCAGCCTTTTGGTTAGCAGTGAAATGCCTTAGGCACTACGCCACCAGAACATAATCTAATTTAAATCAATGTTATTTTTATGGTAACTGTGATCTTCCTTGTAAAGGCAGAACTCATAAAATATATCTACCAATCCTTGACTTATTGATGGTTCCTATCAGAGGAATGGGAATGGGAGCTCTGGTAGCATAGTGGCTAAGACACTTGCCTGCTAACCAGACGGCTGACGGTTCAAACCCACCAGCCACTCCTCGGAAGGAAGGTTGGGCAATCCTACTTCCGTAGTGATACTGCCTTGGAAACCCAAGGAGGGGTCGCTATGAGTCGGGGCCGACTCGATGGCACATAACAACAATAACATCAGAGGAATACCATCAAGTTTTCATAAAGGCATTTTGTTTACTGACATGGATGAAAATTGTAATTGAAAATACTTAATGTAATATACTATTTTAAAATACTTATGTGTTCTTTCTGAAAATGCAACCTATCTCTACTGTGACCATTTATGTGTATACCCCCCCAAAAAAAAACTAACCTCCTGACTCATAAATGAAGCCTAAACTAAGCATCACACACAAATGTTTGAAATATTAATTAGAAAAACATGTGATAGTTGTATTAGACTATATAAGCAATTATCTCATTTTAAAAACCATGTGGTTTAAGTATATCAATTACTGTATGGATTTTTTTTTTCATTCATTCAACAAATATCTGAGCATCAACAAAGTGCCAGGCATTGAAATACAGGGTGAACAGGAGGATCCCTGCTCTCACAGAGCTAACATTCTAGAAGGGGGCTGATATTAAAGAATTATTTATAATAAGATGGTAAGTTTGTGGCAGAGAAAATGGATGGTGCTTTGTAAGAACATATAGCAGGGCAGGAGTGCATGGGAGGCAAGGACACAGGGAAGAGGTAACTATGGGGAAAAAGTAGGAGGGGAGCTGCTGCATTGTGGGAAATCGCAGTCAATGTCATGAGACAAAGTGTATGTGAGCTGCTATATGGAAAGTGAATCTGCTCTTTAAACTTTCACCCAAATCACAATAAAAATAAAAAATGAAAAGGTGTCAAATATCATCACACATTATCAGCAAAGCACTTATTTCAGTGAAAAAATCAACTTTATGTTAATAATCTCAATAATACCTAGAATTTACAATAACAGAACTTTTCATAGTAGTTGTGGTTACAAAGGATAATTGTAAACTATTTATTCTCTTCATCATGGGTGATAAAACTAGGTCACAGAGAAATTTCTCCAAGAAAATTTAAAAGGAGTTTTAGGTTCATCAAATAAATGCCATACTGATTTTTTTTTAACATAGAAAAGTACAATGCACTGTGTTAATAAAACAATTTTATTATAATAGCTGCATATTCAAAAAGTCTTAAAATTTTAAGACTACTCATGTGCTAATATTTGGTACACATCAAACAGGAAACATTTCTTTCCAATTACATCCTAAAGGTGCCAAAGTCAGTCTTCTGGATTGGTGCGTTGAGGGCTGCACTAATACTAAGACCTAGGACCAGTCTGGTGTCCACTGGATCAATAATCCCATCATCCCACAGCCTGATAAAAAAGAGAGAGAGAGAGATTTATTATGTAGTCACCACCAAACTACCATTTGTATATATCTACTCCTCACTTAGTGACTATCTTGTTATCTGACATTCTGCATTCACGACAACAGTAAAAACTCCATCCAACTATTTTTTTGCATTGAGGAGGAGCTGAGGGGAGATGGGGAGGAGGAGGGGAAGGTCTGTGAAAGTGAATGAGGTTCATACAGCTCCTGATGGTTCATATTACCAAGATCAGGTGGAGAAGTCCACAGGGAGCTCAGGGCAAGCAGCACACAGGAGGTGGGGGCAGACAGGCCACCAGGAGGCAGCAGGAGCCAGAGCTTCGGGGGCAGGCTCTCAAGTCTCTTCTTCCAAAGAAGGCTCTCTGCCACCTCCACAGCCTCCACAGGGCCCAGGTGGCCAGGCCTCACCTGCCCACAGGCCCGGGAGGGAGTCTGTGGCCTCAAGGCCTATCTGGGGGCTGGCAGAGGAGGAAGGTGGAGAGGCAAGGCAAGGGGGAGCTCAAATAGGTCCAGAGAGTGGCCAGCAGGGCCCTGCTGCCTGGGAGGCAACGGGCAACCCCAAGGGCCCCCGACAGGCAATGAGTGGGGTGGGCCTGGTGCATAATGGCATCCTCACATAACAACCTGGTCTTTGGAACTTAACCATGTCAGTAAGTGAGGAGTGGGTATACTCCATACCCAGAAATGCCAAGAATGTTTTTCTTCAGGCAATATATGGATCTACTGATTAGCATCTGTGTGCTGCAATCTTGGAACAGAAACCATGTTCAACAGAGGTGGGAAGAAAAGAAAAATGACATGAGTATAGTCCCAATTCTCTGTTAAATTGACTACCTTGTTATCTGACTATAGATAGTCACTATAGAGGCTCCTTACCAAAAGAAATCTCAGGATATTCCCTCATTTTCAAATATTTTTACTTATTTCAGGAAAAACTTTCCTGTCCCTCTCCTGCCTGCACAAATGTACAACCAAGTCGGTGTGTTCTTGCTGTAGACAGAGAACCTCATAAACCCAGGTAACCATCTTCTACCTCTCCACCCGAGAGCGTATACCCCCTAGAGTTCCCCCAAATTCTTAAGAAACTATGAAAATTACCAAATAGCCTTCGGTACAATTTACTAATAAAAGAAATGCCTTCAAATGCAGTTCTTCAAATTTTTCCTACAATTGGAAAAATAATCACTTTAAAACTGCCGTAAGTGGAAATTTTAGCTTGCTTTTCATGGACAATCTTAAATTTATAGAGAAAAATGAATGAGAAATAATGCTTTTTAAAGGTTATTAGTAGGTGGCAGTTTTTCTCTCTTTAAATAAACTGCCTTCAGGGTCTGGATATAGCATCAATTATTAAAGCAGACAGACCAGAAATCAAATCTCTGCTCATAAAACATTCATAAGAGGGACTCTGAAGTATCAACAGCCAATAAAAGAAAGTTACCCTTGTAATGTGGAACCCATGTCAAGTGACTGCACCCCCTTTGCAGCCTACAGCAGTTCCACAGCAAGCCCAGGAAGAAGGCGCCAGTTAATGATGTTCATTAAAAAATGCTCCAGGTAAGAGACTCTAATCAAACACCCAACTTAAGTTTGATGATAAAAAACAACTGAGCAGAACAAAATAGGCATGTTGCATATGTAACATACAAGGATTAAGAAAAACTAAGGTTACAGTAGCAGATGAGGACAGAGCTCTCTGAAAAGACAGATCTAGCCTCATCAGACCAGAGCTTTATTGTTCATCTGAGATTTACTAAAACCAAGAAGGTACCTTAAACTGGCTTGTAAATCCCTTCATCTTTGAGAAAGTGGCTGTCTCCTGTTTCAAAGAGAAGGCTAATCCTCTACACATCAACAGAAAAAGCTTACTGTCTTTGCACATTTATTTCCAGAGACATGTCTATCTGGGCCATCTGCTCTCCTGCCTTGAATGTAATCCATTAACAATAATGATGATCATCATCATATGAAGATAACGAAGGAGTCAATCTTTTTCAAGAGATGAAATCTCAGCAAGAGCTGAAAGACGAATGGCTCTCACAAACTATGCCATTTTTCAAAGTATAATATTTCAACTGTCTCTACAGAGTTCAGTCAAAATCCTATGTGAAAAAACTGCAGGTGAACTCACAGGATATATTTTCACTCAGATCTCCTATATGGTTTTCTAGTTCTCCTTTGCTTCTACTGGCTACCAAGTAAGTCTGTTTAAATGATGGCCACAGGAAGGACATGTTTATTTCTCAAAATCAAAGACTGTAAAAATATTTTGTTCTTAATTAAATGAATTGATGACTCACCACAACAAAAATATGCTTGTAAATGTTTGTAAAGACATATATTTAGCAAGGGGAGAAACAGTCTTATATGAATTCAGAAGCTAATTATGTTCTTGAAAATAAGTATGTTTAGTCTTTGTGCCCACAGTGGTTAAGACCAGGGCCCGCCAGAAAAGGATGCATTCAATCACTGAAATGGATCCGAATTTTTTATTTTCTCTTCTCCCCCTACCTCCAGTGCCTTTATAAGTAACAGTCATGTATCACAGCATAATCTAATTCTAAAAGACACAAATAGTTTTCTTTTTTCCATCTGCCCAAGGGATAAAAGAAAGACATGAAGCTTAGATTCTTCTTCACAGTGCAGAATATTAAAGTTGTTGGAAAAAAGAGGTCTGAAAGCCATCTCCAGCTGAGACAGGCATGATAATTTATTATCTCATTAAGTGGTATAAGAAACAAACAGAGCCAGCAATGAGTGTGCGGTAATTACTTGGTGCTGACATGTGGACCCTCACTGTGACTAATCACTTCCTAAATGTACCAGCACACTTGTTAACAAGTGCCAATAAGTGTTCAACCAATCTCATGCTTAAAATGGGGTGAAACAAAGTAATCAAAGAGAGGGGTATGACAAGAATCCACATCTTTAAGTAAAAAATAGAGAGTGACTAACCCCTGAAAGGGAGCTCTGGTAGCGCAGTGCCTAAGGCACCTGACTGCTAACCAGAAGGCTGGAGGTTCAAACCCACCAGCCACTCCTCGGAAGGAAGGTTGGGCAATCTACTTCCATAGTGATACCGCCTCGGAAACCCAAGGAGGGGTCACTATGAGTCGGGTCCGACTTGACAGCACATAACAATTACAACAACCACCCCTGAAAGTGACACAGTCAAGATTATAACTGTTAATTTCCCAGCTCCCAGCATGGCCCAGGAGCCAAGGCCTGAAGACTTCCCTCCCTCTGGCTGCAGTATCCAGACACCTCTGCATGGGGGAGGGGGCGGGGGGGGGTACAGAACAATGGTGGTAGAGCCACAGCCACAGAAAGCCTGGGAAGCAGGACAGTGTTCCAGCAGCAAGCATTCCCATCACAAAGGGGCAGCAGCACAAGAGTGTCCAAACAGGATTTTTGGGTTGACACAGAGTTGGACCAACCTGACTGCTCTATATACAGCTGTTGCCCTGACAAGACCTACCCCTCAGGAAATGACCCACCGGCTCCTACCTTGCACTGGAAAAGTAAGGGTTTCCCTCCTCTTCAAACCTCTTAATGATGGGCTCTTTTATAGCTGCTTCCTCAGCACTGGACAACTGAAAGAAAAGGGCCCACGAGTAAGAGGGCTTCGGTAAAACAATAGTTCCTATACATATGACCTCAAAAAAAGGACCAACAGATTTTATGAATGTTATTACTCACATATGCACAATCATGTAGAGATTACAAGTGATGTTTTAACATGCATTATCTCACCTGAGATCTGAGTAACCAGTTAGTAAGGCCATTTAACAGTCAAAACCAAGGGTACGATAATGCACAAAATTTTCATTCAAAATGGCTAAAATGTAAAAACTTAAAGCTTCAAGGAATAAATATCAACCACACCTTGAATAACCTCTTCAGTCAGTTTGCCAGATAGCCAGGAGATACTTTTCCCTAATTAAAAACTTAATGCCATGCCCATCATCTATTCCCAGGAGGAAGTGATAATTAATTCAGGTGTAAAAATCTTCATTAAGAACTTATTTTGAAACCCTGAAAAATATTTTCAACTTAAAAAAACTCCCACACAAAAAACAAAGGACTTATTTCAAATAAATCATTCCTCCTTTTCTATAAGTTTTTCATTATCATATTATAGGGTCAAGAGTCTGGAGGGAGGACCGCTAATGCCCTGTACTTTCCTTTCATATATCTAAATGGAGTGGATGAATCCAGATGTATGTACATCAAATTAACCATAAAATAATTGTTTAATATGCACTCACCATGCTAGGCTTCATAAAGTTTAAGACACATCTTCCAAATACCTGCTAGGATTTCATATCCATCGCCACCCCACCCCCACCCCCACAGAGCTTTCCCTTGGCTTTGACACTAATTGGTACTTAAGTGAAATCTGAAGCCTCAACGCCAGTCTACAGAGCTCTTGCTGCTGGGAAAAGACAGTCAAGGATGTGAGGCCTCGGTAGACGCTTTCAGAGGGGCAGGAATCACCTCTGGCTTTCTATGTCCTCAACCTCACAAATGAGGCATTTGACCAGATGATCCCTGAACACCCCACAAACTAGGTGGTTAAATAGATGACCCTGAAGAAGGTAGGGCCTTCTCCATCTTATCACTTGCTATGCTGAGGCAAAAAGAGCTCTGGTGGTGCCTAAGGCATGTGACTACTAACCAGAAAGTTGGTAATTCAAACCCACCAGCCACTCCTTGGAAGGAAGATGGGGCAATCTACTTCCATAAAGGTTTAAAACTTTGGAAACCCAACGGGGGTCACTATGAGTCAGAATCAACTCAGTGGCAGTGGGTTTGGTTTAGTTTTTATGCTGAGGCAACAGTGCACCTGAACAATTTCAGGAACCTGTAGCAATAATTTTAGGGCTCGATGCTTACATAAAATAGTTAAAAGTTATAATAAAAATTAATGCAAAATTTCAGAAGAGTCTTACAGAGACAAACAAAAGAACCCACTCTTAAAGTAACTGCTTGCTGGTTTGTCTTTCATCAAATCTCCACTGCCCTTTCGGTTTTTCCCCATTTTTACTTTCACAGTATAATAGCATTACTCATTTCTCATTGGAGGACTGGCGCCCTCCCACTCAAGGTATCCTTAACAATAACCTGAAAGTAAAATAGATTTATTTTATGGTTGCGGGTCATAAAATAAAAGTAATGAATCAGATGTACCTTGCTAACAGCAAATGACTAAGACTCACACATCTTTATGCCTCAGATATTCAGAGGCAGCTTCTGAAGCATTTTCTTGGAATGTCTGAAAAACTTTAAACTACCACAAGAAGGTGCCCAAAATGAAATACCTTTAAAAGAACTGTAGAAAATGTGTGAGTGAGCCAAAACTGCTGAAATAACTTCCAGGTCAGCATTCATCCAAAATAAAGCCAAGTAGTTTGTGTTGAACCCTACCCTACCCACGAACACTGTGTGATTCTGGCTCTCTGCTCCTTGGCCCTTGGTGTTCACCTCTTGGGAAACCAAGAGGTGGATAAGGAGTGGCAATTACCTGTTTCTCTTCCCGTGCTTTTTGGTCCTTTGCTACTGTTGCTAACACATTGGCTGCTTGCTCTCCTCCCATCACTGAAATACGAGCATTTGGCCACAGGTAAAGAAATCTTGGACTAGAGACATAAAAGCGGGGAGAGGGAATAATCCAATTAATTCAATGTACAACACGGAGTTTGATTTGTTTATCAGAGTTTGTTTGATTACCAGAGATCCACATTTCCCCTTTAAATAAGGGGTTCTAATTCTCTGGTAGCATAGTGCCTAAGGCACTTGACTGCTAACCAGAAGACTGGTGGTTCAAACCCACCAGCCACTCCTCAGAAGGAAAGCTGGGCAATCTATTTCCGTAGTGATACTGCCTAGGAAACCCAAGGAGGGGTCTCTATGAGTCAGGTCCAACTCAACAGCACATAACCACAACAATTCTCTTTCCACATTACAATCATTTGGGGAGCTTTTAAAAAAATAAGAGCATAGCAATGCCTGGAACCTACCCCAGACCAATCTCCAGGCATGGGGCCTAAGCATGGGTGTGATTTTTAAGTTCTCCAGGTGATTCTGATGTGCAGTGAGAGTTTGGGACCACTCCTGTTAAATGATTCCAACTGAGAAGCTAAGTTAATATACTTAAAGTATATATGCATGCATACTTTTATAGACTTTATAAGACAATGTAACACAAACCTCAGATACTACATAATTACATAAAGTAGAGACAGTTTCTTGAAATCCCAATCACTGATTCTCAACCCTTCTCATGGTTTGATACATTTGTCATCCTTTTTTTTCCAGAAATGCACTAGTATCTCTATTAATTTTCAACAAAACACAAGATAAATAAAAGAGCATACTATAATTCGCTTTTGCAGCTTAAGTTTTCATTAGCAGTCCATCTTGGAAACCTTTCATTGTTGTTGTTAGGGGCCATCTAGTCAGCTCTGACTCATAGTGACCCCATGTATGAAACACCACCCGGTCCTACGCCATCCTCACAACACTCGCTATGTTTGAGAGCATCGCTGCAGCCACTGTGTCAATCAACACATCTCGTTGAGGGTCTTCCCCTTTTTTGAGGACCCAAATCCACTCCTCCCCCACTTTTATTGTGGTGAAAACATACACAAGACATTTGCCAACATAAGAACTTCCGTATTTACAGCTCAGGGAGACTGATAGCATTTTTCATGTTGTGCCACTGTTCCTGCTTTTTCCAAAATATTCCACCACCTATTAGCATAAGCTCAATGGCCTGCAAACAAAAGCTTCCCCTTTCTCCCTCCCTCCTACCTCTGCTAACCACTAATAATCTTTTATATGTTGTTGTTGTTGTTGTTATGTGCCGTTGAGTCGGACCCGACTGACTCACAGAGACCCCTCCTTGGGTTTCCAAGGCAGTATCACTACGGAAGTAGATTGCCCCATCTTCCTTCAGAGGAGTGGCCGGTGAGTTTAAACCACCAGCCCTCTGGTTAGCAGTCAAGTGCCTTAGGCACTACGCTACTAGAGTTCCTAATCTTTTATAATTTCTTTTTCCCCCCAAGTAATCTAGGACCCTCCCATCCCACTCCTGCCAATCCCTGGTAACTGACAAAGGAAGCTCCCTTCCATGTATAAATCTTTCCTTGACTTTTTACAATAGTGGACTAGTACAATATTTTCTGTGATTGACTTTTTTCACTCAGCATAATGTTCTCCAACTTCATCCACATTATGTGGTGTTTCACAAATTCTAAATTGTTCTTTAGTGTTGTACAGTACTCCATTGTGTGCATGTACCTTAGTTTGGTTATCCATTCTTCAGTTGATGGGCACTTAGGTTGTTTCCATCTCTTTGCTATTGTGAATAGTGCTGCAATGAACACAAGTGTGCATATATCTGTTTGTGCCCTACCTCTCACTTCTTTAGAATATGTACCTAGTTATGGGATTGCTGGATCAAATGATATTTCCATTTCCAACTTCTTAAGGAATCAGCATACCGATTTCCACATGGTTGTATCATTTTACAGTCCCACCAGCAGTGTATGAGAGTCCCAATCTTGCCAGCACTTGTTATTTTTCTGTCTTGAACTTTGCTATTAATGCTGGGGTGACATGGTATCTCATTGTTGTTTTGGACTGCTAACCAGAAGGCTGGCAGTTCAAACCCACACCAGCCACTCCTGGGAAGGAAGACTGGGCAATCTACTTCTGTAGAGATACCACCCCGGAAACCCAAGAAGGGGTTGCTATGAGTCGAGTTGACTCGACAGCAGTGAGTGAATGGCTAATGATTGTGAACATTTCTTCATGTCTTTGTTGGCTGCCTGAATATCTTCTTTAGTGAAGTACCTGTTCATATCTTATGTCTATTTTTTAACTGGATTGTTTGTCTTTTTAATGTTATGCTGTTGGAGTTTTCTATAAATTTTAGACAGAAGTTCTTTGTCAGGTATGTCATTGCCAAATATTTTTTCCCAATCTGTAGGTTCTCTTTTGGAGAAGTCTTTTTATGCACATGAGAATTTTAATTTTTAGAAGGTCCGCCAATCATCTACTTTATCTTCTGCTGTTTGTGCATTTTGGGTTATGCTTGATAGGGCAAAGAAGTGAGAGGTAGGGCACAAACAGATATATGCACACTTGTGTTCACTGCAGCACTATTCACAATAGCAAAGAGATGGAAACAGCTTTGCTCCCCCTTTTTCTTTGATGTACTTTACAGTTTCAGGTTTCACATTTAAGATCTTGTTTCATTTTTCTGCAAATGGATATCTACTTTTGCCAGCATCGGTTGTTAAAAAGACTATCTCTTTCCCATTTAATGGATTTTGGCCCTTTGTTAAAGATCAGCTGGCCATAGGTGGATGGATCTATTTCTGAATTTTCAATTCTGTTCCACTTTTATTTTGTTTTGATGCATCTGTGTGACCAGGGTACTATGCTCCTCTATTTGCTAGCTGTTAGCACTTGGGCACTTACCACCTGTCTCCTGGTGGATGTGATAGAGAATGGGAGCATGTGCAGAGATCTCTGTCAGCTGTTCATAAAGAGTAGTTGAGGGTGAGTTGAGCTGGTATTAGTCACTCTCCATCTTTTCTCAGTTATTGCAAAAGCAATTTGGTGGCCCTCACTCAGTGGATGAAGCTGCAGGAGGTGCAGGTGTGGTTGGGTTGTGTGGGAATAGTTTCTGTCTCCCACTCAGACCAAAAATAAATAAACCACCAAAAAAATAAAACCAAAAACAAAACCAAACTCACTGTTGTCGAGTCAGATCTGACTCACAGCGACCCTTCCTTGGGTTTTCAAGACGTTATCACTATGGAAGTAGACTGCCCAACCTTCCTTCTGAGGAGTGGCTGGTGGGTTTGAACCACCAGCCTTCTGGTTAGCAGTCAAATGCCTTAACCACTACCCCACCAGAGCTCCTAAAAAGAGAACAAAAATTCAAACTGCATAAACAAACAGGAACAAAGAAACACACACAAAAGAAAGGCAATAAATGAGAAGAAAAATTTTAAAAATGTATTTTAAAAAGATAATGGAAAAAAAAAAAAAACCTACAATATCGGGGGGGGGGATGAAAGAAAAGGGCAATAGTGAAAGAATAGTAAAGAAGAAATGGGAAAACTGCAAATGGAAAAACAAGAGATGGGAGGAACCAAAGGAAAGGAAAGAGAAGGGAATCAGAAAAAGGAAAAAAAAAAAAAAAAGCAAGCACCAGAGAACGGAAAGAGGAAAAATAAAAAGGAAGAAAGGGAAAAGATAAAAATAACAATTTAAACACAAACAAAACTGGGGGGGGGGGCACAGACAAGGATGGAATTCCCGCTGGTCAAAAAGATAGATGGAGGCAGGGGATGGCCACTACCTCTTTTCATCAAGAGGGTTTGGGGTCTAAGAGTAACAAGGACAATAGGTATCTTTCTAGTCATCAGCCTCCGGTATGGTTGCCCATGCTGTCCTTGGCAAGTGGAGCTTATTCTTAGGTCACTGTCCATGTAAGAACATTACCTGCATATATTCAAAATGGCCGTGATGCTTGCAAATAATCAAAATGGCTGCATCTTCAGGACAGCCACAATCCCCAGCTCTGTTTGTTTCCTTCTTCATTGTTTTTGCTTCCTGGTTGTCAGGCACCAGTGCAGTCTTCACCCATGTAGTCCCTGGTGAGCGGAACCGATTCTTAGGTTGCTACAGGACACACTTGCAAATATTCAAAATGGCTGCACCCTCAGGAAAACCGGCATTCCGCAGCTCCATCTGTCTCCTTACTCACTGTTTTCATTCAGGTTCTTCTACTAGTTGGTATTTAATCCACTTCTTTATCTTTTCCTTCAAAGCCCAGGGTTCCAGGATCATCTTCTGTATCGGTTTCAATTGGTTTCTCATTGCTTTGTTGCAGAGGGTCTGTGTAGCTTGTCTATTTCACCATCTTTCCAGAACTCCTCTATTTCATTCTTTTTAATAGTATCATAGTATTGCACTATATGGCTGTACAATAGCATATTTAACTATTTCCCAAGGAGACTTTCTAAATTTTTGCTTCTACAAAAATGCTATAAAACTTTCTTGTATTTATCTCTCTAGGCACTTAGAGGCATGTTTCCATAAAAGAAAATGCCAGACTGTTCTCCCAAATTGTTGTATTACTACCTGAAACCACTAAGAGTGTGGAAGGGTGCCTGTCTACCTGTACCCCTGCCAACAATGGGTATGACACCTTTGCCAATATGATAGGAGGAAAAAAGGTTTTCATTTAAATTTGTAACAAATATATTCTGATTCACTTCAGAAAAATCACAAACAAGATATCTTTTTGAACACAGAATAAAAGTCTTTTCTTTTTCCATTTTCAAAATATGAACTACCTCATGAGGGTGAATGGAAGTACACATGAGTAAGCTTTCTAAAACTCATCTCAACAGCCCATCTGGATGGTAAAATAACTGCAGTCATGAGAGAAACAGGTTTTCTTTTCAACAAACATTTGAACCACTCTAGTCAACATACTGCAGGCATCATAATCCAAAAGCCAAAATCACACATGGCACAAGGACAGTAGTAAATCAAAAGAACAGATTCATTCATTCACAAAGATGCTTACTGCGCGCCTACAGTACACCACACTCTG